GGGGGGGGGGGGGGGGGGGGGGGGGGCGTGGGGTAACAGATGTTTACCTGGATGGTTTCCTTCCTACTTGCATACTTTCTTCAATTGCCCCATTCCTCAGTTTTGTTCTACGATCACAAAAACAAGAGAGAAGAAAAGAAGCTTTTTTAATGATTAGGGGACAAGCTCATATTTTTGTTGGCACTGAGCATTTTGGGCATGAAGGTAAAGAGGTCCTAGGTACTTCTAGAGCATGAGTTGATTTCAAGTTTCCTATAAGAGGTAAGGTACTAGCTTTCTGGTTTTCTTATGGCTCTTATTTGTGTAACAGTGTTATTCCTTTTAACAACTACAGCTCAAATTCCCTCCTATCCAATTGGAGATTTTTTTTGTAACTAATACGGCGGAGCTTGTAAATATAGAAAAAAAAAACAATATATATATTTTAGATTATTACTTGGTTTAAGAATCGTCTAATACATGTTTGATCCCTCCCTCACTTTACCCTAGCAACTACTTATATAAATGTGAATCTAGGTTGTGTTTTAATGTCATTACTATCATAGTGGGTTAATCTTTTAATCTTTCATTTATGTTTGGGTTGCTTTTGAGTGTGGTATTTTCTTCTGTTTAATTGTAATGGAATGTAAGACCTATAATTGCCTGTAATATGAGGATCCATCATTATGTTAAAAAAAGTATCTGACCTGAAGGATTATTTTCTGTTTCACTAAGACTCAATTTCAGTTGATAGATCACGTCACATGTGAATATGGCACACTGTATTTATGTATAAAGCCAACAAACAATTTTATCCTCGAGGATATCTAAATGATAAGTTTTGACGATTGAACTTGAAGCATTTTTCATTTTAAAGAAAACCTTACACTTTTCTTCAGACGTTAAAAGCATATAATTTGTGGTTTTTCCTGAAGAGAATGATGAGAATGGCTGCCTTGTTTAATATTTCTTGAAGGTGGGTCCTGGTGAGGTGGATGATGAGCTAGAGGAGGAAGTAGGATCAGAGTGTGCGAAGTATGGGACAGTAACACGGGTTCTAATATTTGAGATTACAGAACCCAATTTTCCAGTGGACGAGGCTGTTCGTATTTTTGTGCAGTTTGAAAGATCAGAAGAAACGACGAAGGCTTTGGTTGATCTTGATGGTCGGTACTTTGGTGGAAGGGTAGTTCGAGCTACATTTTATGATGAGGAAAGGTTCGGTAAGAATGAATTAGCTCCAATGCCCGGTGAAGTCCCTGGATTTACATGAAACCCAAGAATTGAAGAACGCGAGACATTCTCATTCTGCAGTGATGAAGCTATGATCAATTTGGATTGGATTGTGCATTAACTTTCCTGTTGTCAAGAGATTTGCCCACGATGTCGTTGACTGAATGAAGCCCAGGAATGGAATTGTTGAACTGATCTTATTAGCTAGTGCAGATTGTTCTAGTCAAATAGCTACAAAGAAGCATATTTACCTGCTCCTGTTAATTGAATACAAGATTCTAATTTCTATGGCATTTGGTCAAAAATTGGGTCTCTTTGCAGGCATTATGAGAATCTCTTGTTTATCTTGGGACTTGACTGAAGGAAGTATTATGCACATGGTAAAGAGAAAAACCATCCAAGATAAACCTTTGGCGAGTTCCATTTTTGTTGATTTTCAGATCGTTAAGTAAAATTTTGTAGTGTTCAAGCGTCTGTGTCTTAATAAAAGCCTGGCAAGTTTATCTTGTTTGCTTTCTCTTCGCTTCGTTGGTTGTCTTGAACAATAGTTTCCACTAAGACTCGTTTGATTTGACTGATACAGAGAGACTAACAACTCTATTTGCATGTACAGCACGTTGTGATGAAGATGGGCGTTCTGTTGGGCTGCAGGTGGATTATGATTGGGCTTTTACAGTAATTTTAGGTAAAGAAATCCATGAGTCATGACTCGTGTGCATGGTTATAAATGAATATTTGATTTCTTTTTTTAAGAAAAGAATTCCATCTTTGTAAACTCATTTCGAACTTCGCATTATAATAATATGTGATAAAGGTATAATGAAATAGTCATTTCTACAATTCTAGACATATGCAATGTTTTTTCAACACTATAGAGTGCACGATTTTGGGTGCAATTTAGACTTAAGCGAGACAGTTTATGTCTTGTTACCTCTAGGCTTCACCATTTTGGGGCTTTGAAATTGAAAATAAGACATCCTAAGTCATTGATCTCAAAAGGAAAGATAAGAAAAAGAAAGAATAAAGGGAAGTATAATAGATGCTAAAATGGATTGGAGTAGTCAAATCTGAATTAAATGGGGGAACTGGAAGGGTTATTTGAAAAACCCTATGGATTATAGAGTCTGAGGAAGATGATATCTTTAAACCCTAAGAAAATCTGAAAAACAGCAGCAATTCCAGAAAAAGGATCCCCAAATGAATTGCAAGCCCTAATCCCACTCTGAGATTCTCTCTCTACCACACTTTTCTATGGGGTTTTGAAACTTTGCACTTTAATGCCTTCTTTTCCTTTGGGGCTGGGGCTGGGGCTGGGGCTGTGGCTGGTGCAGGTAGTGCCATTGTAGGGACAATCGCCCTTGAAAATGGTGTCCATGGAATACAACCAAATTACACCTTTGAAAACCCCCCATTTCCTTTTCCAACGCTTTAAACCTCAATATCTATGCATATTTTTAAAGTTCGAGGAGAAAATGAACCTAAATTTGGGACTAAAATTTTAATTCAACCCTTTGTTTTTTGTTTCTAATTTACATTGAACAAATCAATAAGCAAACCCAGATACTACCAAAATCAGGAAGAAGAAAAGCCCGAGAGAGAGAGAGAGAGAGATAGAGGAATCAATGGCTTTAAATTAAGTCTGCACCAAAAAGATATGGAAAAGATTTTGTTTAGTTAATTTAAAAATAAATTATATTATTATTTTTTATTTTTGGAGAAACAAACAAACAAAAAAAAAAAAACAGCACAGACAAAGACTGGCAGCAGTCTCGAAATTACAGTTCACAGTACCTTTGGCACTCATCCTTTTACCGCCCCTCCCTCTTTTCTTTAACTACATCAGTAAAAAAAATAAAAACGATACCAAAATGAGAGGAGGCAAAAACCACTCCATCAGACAATGGTAAAGAAATGAGTTTGAAAAAGCAAGAAACTATGAAGGGAAAGTAATATGAAAAATTAAAGTGTGATTAGACCTTCCAAAATCCCATTTTTGTTTGGTTACAGAGAAAAAAATGGAAAGGAAAAGCCAAAACAGGTAAGATCCTGGTGTGGGCTGCTGCTCTGTTTCAAAGATGATGATTATATTATAGGATTGGTGAGATGGACTGATTTTACATCCACCCTACCCCTTCTGTCATCAAATATAGTGTGTAGTTATGACTTGTGAAATGAAAGAGGGAGCTCTGCTTAGCTCACCTTCACCTACCTGTCTGTGTGCATCTGAAGCTGAAGCTCAACTCCTTTCTGCTTCTCTTCTTCTCCATTTATGAGTTTTCTGTCAAATACTGTTGGGTTTGTTAACCCTTTAACTCACCATTACTTGTTCTTTGACTTGCTTTGCTTCACTGCCCTTTTCCTCTCCAACAAGTTTCTTACTGTCTCATCTGTTCAAGAGCTTTTGTTGGGTTAAGAATTTGTGCCCTTTAGCTTTAATCTATTGTATTGTCTTCTCATTTAGTCTATCTGCTGCTACAGTATTAAACTTCAATCTAACAAACATGTTTTACACTTTGTATGTGTAAGTAGTGTGTGCACTATGTAGTGTTCATATTTTTACTTGGGCTTCAGATTTTTTATACACGAACCTTTTGTCAGATTTCTTATTTGGATAGTCCTCTACTGAATCCTACAAAATGAAGCAGATGTAGCTATATAGATAAATGATCCTTAAGCAGAAGATGTAGCTATCATATTAGCATATAATAGAGTTCATGAAATGAACGACTTTAAGACATGGGTGTCTAAGTTTGAAACAAAAGGGTCCATCCAACTACTTAAACATTTGTTTTTCCAACAAAAAAAGGAAGAAAAAGCAAAAAGTCCTGCAGTCAACCAAAGGCATTATATGTCTAAGTTGAAATTACAATCCCACTAGAGTCATGTCCTTAGCCATCACACAAAAGACCAGTTTATGAACATGAAAGCCAGACAGTGATTGGAATCATCATCATTTAGAACCTTCCAGGCAACGCCTTGCTCGTAAGAAATAGGACGACCCATACTCGATACGCAAATGCCAGACGGCAGATTTGTGAATCCCTGCAATGGAAAAAAAATGTATGTAAGATATTCCTAATCTGTAGGACAGAAGAGACCATGCCATGATTAAAATCAAACCATGCTTACCTGCTGCATTATTTTGGGGAATTCAGAACAGAGGATCTTCCGACCCGCTTCGTCGAGAATTTTGTCGAGCATTATATCTTGCAGGCCAACAAGAGTGGTTTCAAGCATGTCCAGACCGGCCTGGTTGGCAAAGGTGAACACAGCAGATGCCTGCAATGAAAATTTCCCAAACATGTTGTTAGCTTTCCAGAGCAGTTCCGTGGCTGTTATGTAGTCGAGTTTTTAGGGTAGAAACATCGATTACGTTGGCTTTGACGGAGCAACACATGATTGCATCTGAGTGGTGCCAGAGCTGCTTCAACATGGCCTCCCCAGACTGGGAATCGGCTTGAAGGAGCTCAGCTCCAACATGGATCCTGAAACACAAAACTGTTGTAAGTAGACCTATTTGGGGCAGGGGAGGAGTTCTTCATATACATAGATCAGATTTGATACTATAAACCATACATATGAAGAATAATAAGCCTAGTTTTTATGAGGAACATAAAAGTCGAAGACTCGAGTGGATAATGGATACATGCCTGTAGCTTCGGCAAATCCATCGAGCCAAAGTAAGAGCTTCAGGAGAACCAGGAAGGGGTTTTAGTCCAATATTGGAACTCAACTGTGATGGGGCAATGGCCATAGCAACCCTCTGAACAGACCCCACAATGCTACGAACGTACTGTCGAGCCATAGCAGCCACATTTTCCTGCAAGTGATTCTCAAAAGTGAACTGGAAGGCAATAGTCAAGACCGACCGGAGGTTGTAGGTGCTCAAATCAGCTTCACCACCAGAGCGTGCACCGTTGGCACCGACTTCAAGAGTAGAAGCCAAATCCAATGTTCGATTAGCAGTGGGCTCATCCTGCAATATGGGGGAAACAAAGCCAAGGAAAGCAAATTAACTTATGCTTTTAAAAAGGGATGTGTGCAATAAATACAGAAACAGACCGTTTTTGGATCCAGGGGTATGACACGAAAACCAGAAGGAAGTAACGGCACATCATCGGCAAAAGATTCATCAATAGGCGCAAACACAAGCTGAGCACAAGCTCCAACTGCATTCTCATCAACTCCATTACAGAGCTGCCATGAAGAAGTTGAGAAAACACATCACGAGAGAAAAACATCGCATTAGATAAGATCCAACTTACACATTGTAATAAACTAACCTGCAATAAGTACATATCTCGTCCAGCCAAAGCAACATCTTCAGGGGAGAATGCAAGGCCCTCCAGCCGAACCACCTCCAGAAACTGTACAAAGACGACACTAATATTTATAGTCAAAGGATCACCTGCAAGAATTTCTCTGATAGGTAGGAATCTTTACCTCTTCGTGCTCCACAGTGTGAGCAAGAGGCAAAATAACCTGGCTGCTAGGGAAACCACCGGGCCTTGCGCATGGAACAGCATATGGACTGGCTTTTAAACTCGCAGCGGAGTAGGCATCAACTCCATAATCAGCCCATTCAGATCGATGCTCCCTCAAGAATCGAATAAGCAAAGCAGGGGGAACATTCTGTAGTCGAGTAGACAAATTCAGATTGAAACCAAGTACTTCCGAGTAGACGCATAAAGTCAACCAAATACACACCTGAAGCAACATTGATGCTTTTGCACACATCACTCCACCAAAAGAGGGATACATAGACGTTTTATACTGTGACCCAGGTAACTTGTTTGCTGATGAGTTTATGACAATTGTCACATCCTCCAAACCATCACTGCTCATAGCTGACCAACCATCATCCGCAAACCCATTAACAGCATCGTTGAAACCCCTAAAGACCATTTTACGATTAGAACTAAATCACTAAGGACTATTTTCTCCATAGTAAATAAACCAGTTACGTTCATGCAAACACAACCTGCAGAGTTTCTGACCAAACGTTCGTAATACAGCTGGTTGACGTCCCCCACTATATTGGATCTCTCCATTAGTCTCTTGTGCAATTTGTCTAATGTGACGCAATGCCTGTAAGATGAATTTGTCCCACACAGTAAGAACAGATATGATTTGCTTGTCAAGAGAATGAAACCTCATGGGACAATTCTTACAGCGATCGTCATTTTCTGAGCAAGGATCTTGGATGACTCGTAAAGCGGTCTAAGAACTTCAGGGACACTCCAAACCTACAGAAGATGAACAGAAGGAAAATGAAAAAAGTGAACAATAAAAAAAAACATGCTGATTGAATACTTTAGTTGAAAGCTCACATCCAAATCAATGTGGTCAACAATGTGAATAATAGATCCCCCACCCTCGCATGCTCGTATTAGATAACCACTAGGAAGCATTTCAGCTCTCACAAAAGTAGATGGCGGAGGCCCTGCTGGACCACCACTTGAAGTGGTTAATGACCTTTCACAGACCTGCAAATTAATCCAAAACAAAAGTTGCGATC